AATCTTTTAAAAGCCTGATATAGCAGTTTACTAGAAGGAACAGACACAAGTTCATCGAGCTGGGCATACATTTTCCTTGAAAATTTTAATAAAGGCTCAGATTCATAAAGAAAAGGACAGAGCTATGGCAGGAAAGGAAGGCAATCAGCCCACACTCAGCCATGTGTAGCATGTAACTCTCGTGAAGCAACAAAGCCTGCTGTAACAAATGTGAGCAGAACTGATGGCAGACTGATTGCTGCTATCTGCAAAGTAATCAGAAAGGGAAAAAACCTCAGAAAGGCAGTAATTTCACTTCTACCAAAATCCTACACTGACCCTTAGCTCACCTCAACAAGTACAGATTTACACTGACTGAGATTTTCCTCTGTAACAGGTAATCAGGTTTGCCTGATGCAGGAGGAACATACTTGCACTTCAGTGAATCAATGAAGACCCTTTTTTCATATACTGGGTGTCTTTTTCTTAAAAGGCCTTCCCAACTTCTGTCCTTTCCAAATTGACTGCCTGGTACTACAGAAGGAAAAATATAGCCAATGATCAGAATATACAAAGTACAAAGAAATAGATGTTAGGGTAATTAAAACTATTTCATTTTTTTTTTTTCTCTTATACTGTTTTTTGTTTATTTAGCAACCTGCTTTCAAATAGAACTTCAGTTATAAGGAAAGACATTCACAGAAGATATGAGGTGTACATACATGTTGTCCTTTCATTCCCATTTACATGCTGTTGCTTTTAGAAGGCAAGGTTTCTTTTTGTTTGTTAGTTTGTTTGTTTTTTGTTTTTTTCTCTAGGAAGGACAATGAAATCTGAGGTTCTGCTTTCAAAAAATGACACCCTTTCAGGATCACTGTGCTTACTGGAATGTAAAATTGTTCAAGGGAGAAACTGTATTAAAAGCTATTGCTTGTCAAACTGAGATAGCTTCATATTTCATCAGATACCCTGGAAATCAGATCAATCTACCACTAAAGGACACATTTTAATTAAAATGCAATTATTTACTAGACTCTTAAACTGAATTCTTATCACTATCATAAACTTGTATATATACACCTTTTTTTTGCAGTCTTACTAAACCATTTCTGATGACCATCCTTTCACATACATCATGCTGCCTAGAGTAAGATATTAAAAGGTTGCCATACTTCTGAGGTGAAAACTGCTAGAAGATCTTATAAAAGGTATAGGTAATGTTTAAGACAAGGAAAATACAAAGCAGAAATACTCCAGTACCATTTAAAGATACATGTGAAAGGCTTGATTCAAAACCACCGGCTTGGATTGTGATTTCCCCTGAAGGCTGGGTGAACATCAAGGTTAGTTTTCCACCGTTTTGGGTCTCTGGACCTCCATGGCTCATCACCTGGTGGCCTGCACATGTTATGCATGAGGATCTGAAATATTGCTTGCATCAAGACACCAATGTGAGAGCCCCAGCCTCAAGCCCAGTCTTGATCTCCCCACTGCTAGCAGAAGTTTTGCCATTGATTCCCATGGAACTGCGAACAAGTCTTTTAGAAACACGACCAGACACTTTGGTTTCCCAATCAGTACAGGAAGCTACATTTTCCTGCACAGTTCAGACAGGTGACACAGCTAAAAAAGAGGTGATAAAGACCTGATTATTTTAATATTCTTCAGGGAAAGTAAAGAGTTTCATAAAAGCAAGATCCATTCCCCCCCTCCAACAGATTTTCCCACAACAGGCAGATGGATAGTATCTGTTAAACAATAGGAGTTTTTTTGGCACAAATAAGAGCATGTGAAGCAAACTATGGATATACACAAGCTACTTCTCTGAGCCTGCTCCTGCTTCACTGCTAGGCTGCTGAATGACTACTGTCCATAATTAAATATATACCATTTTCAAAAATTAAATACAAAGCAGACAAGCAGGAATTCACCGACAGTCACCAAGTGCCTATACAGAGACCAGCTGCTAGTCTACAATATCATGTCTAGGGTCCAGTTTAAGAAAAAAGAGAATTGTAATAATTAAAAGCTTTTAGTTATGAAAGCGACTGTATCAAGAAAATAATGACAAGATTGAAGATTAACAATGTTTTAACACAGCACTAATGAACTTCACATAAATAGGCCCGTGTTGTCCAGTCGATGGAGAGACACAGATGCTTGTAACTTGATTTCAGAAATTTAAAACCTGTTTCTCAAATTTAATACCCTAATTTGCAACTATTGCAATCAATGGTCAAACGTTGTTATTCAGAAATTCTTGCTTACCAGGTTGTGGGAGGTTAGGTGGTAATCTTTTAGAAGATGTCACAGGCCTCACTACCAGAGCCCAGACAGCAGTCCCTAGCTCCACCAAGGACGCAGTTAGGCACAGATGCTGAGCCATCTTTCCCCTCCAATGCCATGCCAAGGCATTTGTCGAATTTGCACCTTGGCTGCTAAACCTGTCTCTCCCACATGATGCAGCAGAGGATTCTAGTCTCCCAGGATGTTAGTCTGATCCTCCTTCCAGACAATAAATTCAGATTAGTAAGCAACTTTTTTTTGCTGTAAATGAAAACCCAATCTGTGCAAATTATGCAATATTCAGTTCTCTTGGAAACTTGAAGTTGCAGGCAAGGATGTTGTCCTGAGGGACTAAAATACCATTAAAATAAATTTACACATGAAAGAATATAGAAGAGACAATGCATTTCAGTCCTACAAAGACAACTGTGATTGCTATGTATTTTGTGGAATTGTTAGTGGTGCAGGTTAGATCCATCCCATGCTGATACTCTCCAAGGGGTGGTGACTTTCTTTACACCCCTGATTAAACAAGAACAAGGAGGGAACTGCTCGACTGAACACAAGAGAGGGTGAGGTTAACACTGGAGGCAAGGCATAAGACTGCAGAGCACAGGAGTGACAGAGGTGATTTTTATGCCTACCTGAACCCCTCTGCCACACAATGTTACCTGAGAAAGTAATTTTTTTTTTTTTAAACTGGCAACTTTTTTGTATGCTTATATCAAATCCATAAACAGAATAAATCAATGGCCTTGTTTTACTGTGATATTTATGTTCAGTGAACCCAGGAGTTCATGCTACTGTCCTTCAAACACAAACTATCTGGCCTTGTCTGACAAGTTGTGCTTACAAATTTCTTATCTGGAAAGAATCCAATATTTTCTTCCTCCTCCATGATATTTTTTTTCTTTTTTCTGATTGTAAAGCATTGACTAGAATAATAGAGATGCAACCAAAAAGGTAAGGAAATTAATGATGCCAGCATTCCTCAATGTAGTCTATTGCAGATTTGGGTGAAAACTAAAGCTTTCTTGTACAGAAAAAAATATTAAATCTGTGCATACTAAACCCAGGAATATTAAAGATAAAGCAAAACAAGGACTGTCACAAGCATAAATACTTTCAAAGGGAAATTCTTGGTATTGTTTCTGTTTGTTTAGCACACAGTAAATGTCCTGCAACACATTCATTCCTTCATTCTGTTGCAGTATAAAAACTGCCCATTAAGGTCTTAAACTCTATCAAATCAGACCACTGGAGAACCATGCTCCTCTGCTAAAGCTATGTTATTGCCATCAAAGGATATTAGGTCTTCAGGCTTTCTCTTTGCCTTTTCTACAAGCTGCCTGCCTGCTCCTCAGGCAACACCTACAACTTCCCTGGTCCAAGAGGGGACATGAGGTGCAATGCTGCACTTGGCACTGGCTTTGCTATTCTTAAAAATGCCTTATAAAGACAGCAAAATAGTTCAGGTAAATCTCTGTATTGAAAAGTAACTCTCCACTGTGTGCTGGGTGTTTCTTATGTGCCCTCTGGGCAGTTTCCAAGCCTCCTTTGCCTCACCTTCTTGCAGATGTGAACACTGCCAATAGAAGCTTTCCTTGCAAAGGGACTGAAACAAAGGATTTAAAGAAAAAACTTGTGCACTAGAGTTGGGAAAAAGGTATTATGTGAAGCCCATGGATTCAAATGCATTGACTAGAGCTGTACTAATATTTCTACGACAGCCTATAAAAAATAAACAGAAGCAAACAAAGTCTGGCTCTAATTGCCTACTACAATGCTTATACCTAAGTACAGTATATACCAATATGCCACAGGCAGAGCTGAGTTTAAACTAGCACGTGCCTCAGGTCACCAGTGCCATAGCCGAAGACACAGGAACAGACTAAGTCTACAGACTCACACAGCATCATCCTCCCTCAGAGATTAACAAAATAATAATAATAATAATAAAAAAACCCCAAAGCTTCCTGTGCTTTATGATCATCCTCTCTGGTAGCAGTAGTCATTGTAATAATAGTATTTTTACATGGTTGATGAGAATTGTATGCAATCAACAAAGTGCCTGGGTCAAGAAGATGGATCCTGACAGGGTTGGCACGGCTGATGACGTTGAAAAACTGGTGAGCATGATTGGCATGAATCCTTACCCCCCCTGTCCCTCTCCCAGCCCTGAACCCTCGGTTCAATGCCACCAAGATGAACAGTGACACAGTCAAGGTGCAGGGCTGAGGGCAGCCTGTGGTGAAGTGGCCAGCCATGAAGGAACACAACACTGGGAAGAAAAGCTCTGCCACTTCTTCTCAGGACAGAACTATCCACGTTTTAAAGAGCTTTTAAAAAATGTAAAAAACCAGCCCCATTTCTTGTTGCAGGTATCCAGAACACCTCTAAACACACAGAAAAATAGACAGGTATTACTGAAAATTTTAACCAATGCTGAAGCTGCAAAACTGCTCTTTCTTGTAGTTGGATATGGAAGGGGCAATTTGCTGTAAATAAATATTAAAAAGTTTTTTTTTCCTTAAATGCTTGAGATATTCCTTTTTTTTTTTTTTCCTCCAGTCTCAGTGGTGTTCTCCTGTCACTTGCTCCTCCAGTTGTGCTGATCTTTTTACCATATGTGTGCTCAAGCGTCTGACGCAGAGTGTTCTCTCCCCACTGCAAAAGTCATCCCAGTCCCACCCTGGCCCAGCTGATATCCCACCCCAGGCCCCATCCCCGTGGGCTTAGATAAGCCACTCCTTCTTGCTCTCATCAATGGTCTCCGTGAAGTTGGGGTCATTGTTCATGATGGCAGCGTCGGCGCTCTCGGCTGACTCTGCCCCTTTGGCCTCGTTGGTGTGGTAGGTTCCCTTGTGGCGAAACATGTAGCGGATCAGGAACACCAAGGTGCAGAGGATGGTGAAGATCACCACTGCGATGACACCTGCACAGAGGAGGAAAGAAAAGGTGCCAGTAGCAAGGAGAACAACTCCAGATTTTTACACAAAGAAAGGGTCCTACAACTCCTCAGAGCTGAGCTGAAGCTCCTTGCCCCCTGGGCAGTTCAACGTCACCACAGTTGCTTCATCTCCATTACTCTAATATTTTTATACAGTTTTAACTCTATGCAAATTGGCTTTGAGTGGAATCTGCTAGTGACTTGCACCCTGTAGGGCAACTTCAACATTAATACCTACTTAGACAGGAGGTGAGCTTTGCTGACCACAAGGCAGAGGGTGTTGAGTGCTCTCAAAACAGAGTGACATGGTGACGTGTCACGGTCTGCGCGGCTCTTAGAGGATGAAGTATCCTGATGTATATTTTCCAGTCAATGGCTACATAAATCCATCACAGCTTCTCAACATGCCCTTGAAAATTGGCTTGGCTCACTGTTGTCTCACTCCGCCCATTAGGTACCGGCTCCACTTAATTACAGATGTAATCACTTCATCATCAGACCTATCCTTAATTGCTCCCCCTGCAACTGCCTATTTGGGGTTCAGCCTGGTTATGGAGAAGTCTCATGTACCTTAACCTCTCAGGCATAGCTATCTACGGCCTAAAACAGCCATGTTCCTTTTTCTTGCCCTTCTCTACAGGCATGAGGGTCTTCCAAGATGAAGATACAAATTCTCAGGTTAAAAAAAAGAATATTTTCATCAGCTAGATTAGGGTACTCCACTTTTGTTAACTGATGCATTAGACAGCCAGGCTGTTCAGGTCTGGCCTGAATTTTTCTGAGGAATGTAATAGTATCCTTTTAGTACTGTAAGTTTTCAAAATATTAAGGAAAAGTTTTAAGTAGTAATAAAAATATAAGTTGAAAAGTAAAAATAACATAGCAAATCAAAACTAAAGCAACAAATCTAAAGCTGGATCTGGCAACATAGACCCTTGAGGGGGCAAGGGAAAAGAAATAAATAAATATGAAATTCCATTAGACCACAGTCAGTGTTGCTTTACATGATAAAACCCATCACCAGTATGTAATTTCGTATGCATTTAGAACTGACTGGAAGCTATTCAGCTGATCTTTACAATTTTTTCTTCATAGGCCTTCAGAATTTGATGTAGTCGTTGCTTTTGGGAAAAGCAAGGTCCATTACCCAGTGTGCAAAAGCCAATCCACACACAAGAGCTGGGATTTGCTTTAATACCCAGTTCTGCACAGAAAAGGAAGCAGGGTGGTGTTCCACAAAGCAAGCTCAGTTTCCTGAACACAAGTGCTACTTTTATACCCAATGCTCAATGTCAATGCTCAAGCATTTCACTGTGCCTGCTCAAAGAGGGGGGCTTGTTGTTAGTAGGGGTCCCTCTAGCCTGTGGCTGCAAATTTTTGTGTGCTAATGGCTCATTAATATATAGATACAGTGATTTCAATTACTCAGTGTTTTTTTGCCCAGTGCTCAAGGCTGTAAACAAGATAAGCTGTGGGGAGTGCTCCTTTCCATCCCCTTCATCTGTCCTGCAGGTGTCCTGCAGGTCTGTCTCAAGGCCAGGCTGTTGACTACTTGGAGATTGTTTTTCTCTAATTGGAACCTGGTTTTGCCTAAATCTTACTGTTTCACTGTTATCTAGGCCCTGTTTTTAGTGTGCATGTTCCTTATGTTCTCTTTTATGTGATTTTTTTTTCCCAAATGTGATTTTTTTCCCCAAATGTTACTTATTTCAAGTAATAACTGACAACACAGTGGCATAGTTCTCCCAGGAAAGTTACAGTGCAATACTTCTATACTACAGGACAGGGCAGAGAAAACTGCATATGTGCATACAATTAATCAGGAACCTTATTTCTGGAGGCAGCTTCAATGGAATGCTAATTCAAAATTCTAATTCTGGTATTACTTAACATCACCTATCACACTGAATGGCACTGTCTGGCACATAAGTTATAGCAGAATTTGGCCCTTAATAAGCCAGGTGGGATCATGAGGGATTTTTGTCAAGGGTGGAGCAAATAGTATTCCACAGAGATTAATGTTGATTTTGCTGTAACTGGAAAAATGTTCTTGCCATTTCACATAAATTAATTACTCTGTTAATGTAAGTAGCTACTGCAAAGTAGCTCCCCATATGGATGCTTAATATGTGGATTATGAATATCAGTATTTTGATTTGATTAAAACTGAATCAGAGGGGACAAGTTAAGTGAGAACAAACCATTTCACTAGGATAACGTACCTGCATGGACTTAACACAAACTTCTGTTTAACTTTGCTCAGGTATAGTTTTCCCACACAGTCAGCTCTTGGCAAATAGCTTGAATATGCTGCCAACTGCAATTTAGCTGTCACAGTCATACTGCCAAGTATCTTAGAAAAGTAGATGGTTTTCCTACCTCCAATAATGGCAGAGTTTCTGTTAACTCCATCTCCTATAGCTTGACCGTTGTATGGGAAATCAGCACTGGCTGTAAATAGAAAACGAAAGATTCATGTTATATTAGCAGTGAAGTATCACGCAGTATTTCAGAAATACACCCAATATCCTCAGATATAATTCAAAGAAAACTGTGACCCCTAGATATTTATCTAAAGAAGAAGAGAAGAAAAAAACTTTTACTGTTGTCTTATGCAATACCTCAGTATCTCTTGCTTCCTTCTCTTAGCAAAAATAAAATAAAAACAAAGGAGGTCCTTTTGGTAAGCACTGCTGTAAATGCAGGAGGTATTTTTTTGTTGCTCTACTCACATAAATTTCCTTAGCACCAACCCAAACAAAACCCTTTCTTTCAAAACTGTGTGATCATACATATTTTTATAGAGATTTTTGCTTTTGTCATTGCAAAAGGCTTCAGAAGTTTCCGGGGTTTTGTGACAGCCACTGGGTACAACTGCAAAGGTTTTTGAAAGAAAAACTGCCCTCTCTTTTACTGCTGCACAGCCTGATGTAAGCAAGTGGCTGCATTTTCTGTTGGTCAGAGCTGTAGAGCAGTTACCTGAAGAAGCACCTGCCAGCACCTTTGCTACTCTAGGAGAAAGCCCAATGTGTCTGCTTAGCCTCTGCTGGAGGTGCTCTGGAGCTGAGATGCAAGACTGAGTTGGAGGAGCTGAGGCACGGCAGGCAGGAGAGCCTCTGGGAGAGGAGAGCCTCCAGCAGACAGCTGAGGAGAGGAAACAGTCAGATGTACCAGTGCTCATCTGCTAGTGACCTAAAAAGGAGAGCCTCCTTGCAGCAGAGCTGGATGGAAGAATCAGGACAGGTTTAAAGTAGAATTTGCATGCTAATCATGGTTTTAACCTCTGGAATACATCACAGAGGCTTTTCAAGGGCAAGCTCATCAACTAACCTATCATCAGCTTTTTCTTTACAGTCAGACATAGCAACTAGACATAGAAGCAACCAAGTCACTCCAGGGAGCTACGTGAGTGGTTGTGATCATTCCCTTCTTTGCCACTGGACTATGACCTTGATTTTGAATTAGAAAAATTGCTGTTAAAAGTATGTAACTGGAAATAGTTAAAATAATCCAGGATATTAATTACGTCTTTGGTCACTATTTAAAACTCAGCTGTACTTTTCTTGCTTGATGGATTAGGTGACACTGTATGAAAGAAAGCAGTTGCCTTCATGGGCTAGTGATGCAGTCACTGCAACCAAAAACTGGCTAGGGGAATTCAACTGTCTTTCTGTTATTATGGAATAAAATAAATAATAAAGTTCCTTTTGTATCTCCAAGCAGCTGCACAAAAGAATGAATGGCTTCAGCTTGCGATGGGGCTTGGAAAGAGGTCTGGGGCTAGAGTGCCTTCTGTGCCTACTCCGGGGGAGAGCTGAACCAGCTGTGTGTTGAGCAGCTCATTTTTGGCTGGTCTCCTATGGGACAAACAAAAGAGTATTTCTCAGTGCTCAGTGGAGGGGGCCTGGCCAGCAGTTTTGGCCAGCAGCACTTGTGTCTTTGACATGTGTTGGTGCTCTGGCTTCTGAAAACAGCATTTCTGCACCTCTCTGAAACACAGCAGGCTAAAAAATGTAAAAGATAAATAAATACCTGATCCAAATCAGTGGATTTTGCTTCAAAGGAGAACCTTACTGTGCAGGACCATGAATGTTTCCTACAGAGACATTTTGGCACAGGGTCCATTATATTATCCCTGCAGTGCTGAAAGGGAAGGACTAGCAGTGGGAAAATAAACCTTAACTTTAAACCTGCCCTCCCTGCACCTCAAGGAAAATCCCAGAGCCAAATAACACTGTAGAAAAGTATTAATTTACCAAATTTCAAGAAATTGCTCTCTGCCATTCTAACCCAAAACAAGGTCCCTTGTGATAGGTGCAGCACCACAGGCAGTTAAAAAGTCCTATCACTTGCCACTTGGGAGTTGCTCTCCTGTGTCCCCATATAAGAAATCCTAAACTCCGCAATGGTCATAGTTTCCCCTTCCCTTACAACTGAATAGTATATTTTATCTTCTTTTAAAAATTTGTTTCAAAGATCTTGGCAGTAGTGAAGTGTGAAGAAAGAGGAAAGCTGCTGCTCATGGCAGTATTGATCCCTCACAGGCTGCTATATCACAACAGCTATGCTACAAGGGATTCCTGGCAGATGGAAGACCATAGCTTATGACGTTCAGTAGCCACTGCAGTACACCACAGGATAATGAGTAACATGAAGCATGATGTAAAGCTGCATCCTTAATCTTATCTGAGAGCTGCTGCTAGGACTGGACAGGATGCCTCCATCCAAAGCTGTTTTCCATTGCATCTTGTCATCATACGCACTCAAAAGGAGATGTGCATTGGATCAACAAGCAGATGTGACTCACTCTAAAACTCATCTCTGACAAAGAAGAAATGGGAACATGTGTCTGGGGGCAGGACACAACCTATTTCAATAAGCGTTTACCACCGGATTGTGTAAGTTGTGCCCTGCCACAACCACTGAAGAACCAGAAATGCTGTAGTGAAAAAAGGAGCTTAGACATTCATAAGTCTTTTTGTGAAAGTACCTGTGGCAGTGTTAGGAGATATAATCACCATAATTCACGAATGCCTGTTCTATTACTCTTGTGTCAGCAGGAGACCTATTTCGATATTATGAGGTTTTTTTAAACTGAAAAATCATATCTAAAATCTCAGCAAATGTGGGGTTATAGAATTGCTCACTGCTTTCATTTTTAGGTGGAAGGCCCCTTGAAATTCTTCTTAGCAGCAGTAGCTTCTGAAATGATCCAAAATACTTACAGACCAGAGTCTAAGAACTGCAAGAGTAACTCCTGTCACAGTAGTTAGGTGGAAGAGACCATATGAAGGCACATCCTTTCACCCTCAAAGGTGAGCTTAACAGAGTACTGTCACCAACAGACACCAAGTGCACGTATTTTAGATAACAGTTACATCATTCAAATGTCTGATTTGTCTCTGACCTTACTACTGTCACATTCCTCGGCAACGTTAAGCAAATTTGTCAGGAAGACAAATGTTGAGATTCTTTCTTCCATCGCTGCTGAAATTCAGCGGCCAAATGAGGAAAGAACATGTTAGAGCAGCCTGACAAAAGGGTAACAGTAATACTGATACTCTCATAAACTCATAGAAGACTATAGAGTGCTGTTCACAGGTTGTAAAGAATGACTCCTAAAATGTTCTAAAATGACTGGTCAGACACTGGTTACTGGTGATTCGTGTTTCATGGGAATCTAAATCAAAGTGGTATAATAACGGGCTTGCATGGCTATAATATGCAGATGAAGTACGAATGAGTTGATAATGGACAAGTCATTTCTCTGCCACAGCTGGGAACACCTTCTTGTTCAGTCTTCTATTATTGCTGTGACCTTAATTCTAACTACATGTCCCAGCAAACCCTTTTGCACTGCCTGATACTTGAACCTCGACAGCTTTGAATCATGGCTTGCCCACAGCAAACAGGTGCCACGGAGCTGCAGTTTCTGTAGTTACTCTGCAAGGCTCCTCTGGACAGCTAGCTGGTTGTGAGTATAATATAAGGTGGGTGTGGGGAGGATACTGCAGGAGTTTTGGTCCATATACTGTACTCCCTAAGTGTTAGCTGAGGCCATGAATAGGGCTATTCAGTTTTTCCTTTATTGCCTGGTCTACAAAGGTTGCTTTCGAACAGCTGATTCCCATCTGATTTGGGTACTGTACTGGAAAGGTTTCTTTACCTGAGGAGCTTTTTCTGAATCTTCCCTAGGTTTCTCTGAGCAGAGAGGGTGTCACTTGTGTGAGTCAAAAAAAAAAGAGCAGAGCAAAGAGCTTTTTAATCTGTCCTCGAAAACAGTTACTTAGTGGCCCAACAGATGTGTCACCAGTTCCCTGAAATCCTCTGCTCATGCAGCTGTGGCACAGAAACATTGGTTTGCTGTCAGGACACACCAAAGGCATTTTTGTAAACACTACAGCTAATATAGGGATAGACTGAACTGTACTAGGAAAAGGTAAGCTCATCTGTGGCTTTTGAACTGTACTTTGCCTGGTTCTCTTTCAGAATCCAAGCTGGACAAGTACATTCTTTGCACCCTATCATCCCACAGCAGGCCATCAGGTTTGCTTCAAACACCACCATCCTGAAGCTAACTTATGTAAAAGGACACAGCATACTTTGCTTTGTCTCTTTTTCATGAGCCACAAGGCCATAGGTTCAATAACCAGAGTAAATCTACAGTCTGAACTTATGTTTTGCACTTTTCAACGTTCTGTTATTAGTCTCAGGGTAAATGGGGTTATAGGAACTTAGCAGCACCTAAAAGGGTAATTAAAGACTGATTGCAGGCAAAATCCATGTTTTGGCCATCATTTTAACGACATCTAGATGACCACAAAAATGCAGTAAGAGATTTACCATAACCTAGCACACTTAGCATGGTCATTGCCACATCTGGCTTCAATACAGCAGCACTCACTTAAGGGAAAGGGGAGATGTAACTAGATAAACTGACCATAACTAGAATTAGATGTTAAAGATGACAAATGTGGTTGATTTAACAGAGTGAATGATAATTTTGCGTCATTATAGTAGGCATGATTTTGCACCTGCCATCTTTCAGAGGGAGAGTTTTTACAATGGATCCCAAAATACATCCTAGAGAAGCCACTGCCAGAACTGGATTTGGTGATCACATAGAAACCTCCCAGCAATCAAGATATTGATTAACAGAAGAACAGCGAGAGAACAAAATAAAAACAAAGATGTGAACTATAACTCCTTCTTCCTAACTCTATTTGCAGCCATCCATCCAATAATTGAACCTGCAAAGACAGCAAACACTCACTGACACCTTAGGATTTTGAGAAAGTGTTAGAAACTAGATCCATTCACTAGTCTAGCCCTCCTCAGGACCATACCACAGAGGAAAACAAAAGCAAGGTCTCTGGCTGTGTTTTGTCAAATTATGTCAGCCCTGCTGGTCAGGTGAGACTCTACTGCTATGCTTTGAAATTACAGAGTAC